AATTCCCATTTACAAGGATTCATAAGTTATCCATGCAAACATTATTTTATGCTTAAACAGCTGAACCAACATGACACTCTTTTCATTTTGGAAAACTCTTTCATTTTGATAGTATATTTGTGTATCTATGAAAATGGTCTTATATTTCTTTTTAACTGCAGGTCACAGACATTGCTGATGCTATGATACTGAAGCGGCTGTTTATGGAACTGTTTAAGAATGGTATTGTGGTGGTGGCCACCTCCAACAGACCACCAGATGGTATGATCATTTCAATTATAAACTGGAATTTATTTAGACTAACAGACGGTACATAAACATATGATCTCTCGATTTATAAAACAGTTTCCTTGTTAAAAGATATGATGACAGCCAACAAATTGGGTATGAAAATATGTCATGTACAAGGTTTAACTGTTTTCAACTTCTGGGTTATGAATTTTGTGATTTTGATCATGGGAAAACTTCAGATATTAAGGATGATAGCTCTTTTTTCTAAAATTTATGTAAAATCCAGATGTGTGTACTGTTTTGAGAAGAAAAAAAAATCATCATAAGTTACTTTTTCAGATCTCTACAAAAATGGTTTACAAAGAGGAACTTTTCTGCCATTCATAGGAATTTTAAAGGTGAGCATTACTTTTTTCTGCATTTCGACCCAAATATGTTGGAATTTTTGCAGGCTTTCTCCACAAAAAATAATTAACAGTCATGTACAAAAAAAGAACATTGTCTTCTCCAGACATTAATGAATGAAATCTGTATGACAGCTATTTAAGGAACAGTCCAAAATACAAGGTTTAATTGCATTGGCTACAAGCATATTGATAAATACTAAATATGGAAGGATTGATACACTGTATCACACTGCAGCTACATCAATCTAGAAAAATCTCTGCTGAGGAGACACTTTCTCATAAAGAAGTGTTTATGCACATTAGAACACCCTTTGTTAGATGTTTACAAGATTGTTTAGGAAGAAAGATCCTTCTTGTAAAAAATCAAACTACATATTTTGTAGGTCATATTTATGAAAGACTTAAAGAAATTCAAACATTAGGTATAAAACCTTTTCCGCCTTAGCGAATTTCAAAATAGGTATGAAAAAGTGAAGCATGAACAGTCTCTCTGCAGTAAATTGTGCATCTAGCCTACATAAAGCATCGAAGAAGTGAAGTTTGACTAATTCAACCTAGAGATGTATTAAGGCCTAATATGCTTAATTATATTATACGATCCTGTGCAACAAGAAAATTAAAGCTTTGAATGATTAATGCACATAAGTAATGTACAATTCCATTCACTTTCTGTTGAGGAAAAACATTCATAGCCATAAGGTCTTGTATGCAAAGCAGTAGATTAATGTAACTCCTCACCTAGCTGTCAAGGGTTTGTTTCCAGTACCAAAAAGGTTGCACCGGAGTGTAACAAAAATATTGACTGCATAGCTGGGTTCACAATATCATTGATGTCTGGAGAGCTGGGTTGAACTTAAGCTTGTTCAAGAAGATGCAAACCTGTTTTGTCCAGTCCGCCTCTGAGATCTTTACGACTTCATTGCGAAGAAACCAGCTCTGAACATTTATCCTTGGGAAAGCATTTTTGCAATTCACAACATTCACAACAGACTAAGACACATTTTATTTGAATCTCCATTTACAGCTGTAAGTGGAACACATGTCCATGAGATCAGACCATGTTAACTTAGAGACAGCATCTTAAAATCGTCAGCTTGAGTTGAACAGGTTATATGTACATTGACATTTTTAATAACTAAGAAAACTTTGAAACACACAGATCCTTCAACAAGTCACTGATAAAAACTGTAAACAACCAAGGGGAGATAATGCTTCCTTGATGTGTACCTTGGTTGACTTTGAACCAGAAGGAACCCTTGTGCAGAACAGCACTAAATATACTTTCATATACATGTAATTATAAAGAAGTAATTATATAAATACTCTTTAACTTAAAGCCAGTGCTAGTGGGTTTAAAGAATAGGTCATTATGCCATTCAAAGTGAAATGCTTTGGCAGCATCTAGGAAGCAAGCAAACAATTTACTTTTGTTGTCACAAGCATACATATTCATGAATTAATTCTTCACTGGATGATTCTGAATGTATCTCTGCAAAAAACATTCCCCAGAGGAGGGCTAGGCAAGCAGGGTCTGTGATAACTTCACCATTAAATTTTATTTCAGTGCCAACAAAACCTGAAACATTTTCTAATTAGAGACAAAAATATGTTTTGATTGACAAGTACAATTTGATCCTGTAAAACACTTATGTACAATGAATGTTTGTATTTTCGCAGAGTCACTGTAAAACACTTAACCTGGACTCTGGAATAGACTACAGAATGACAGTTGGTCCAGCAGAAGGCAAGATTTACTTTTTGTAAGTATCATTTTGTTCATTTTAATCAGAAAGTAAATAGATGTATTGGTACCACATTGTCACTGGTTATTTTTTTCATCAAAAACTTAAATATTGAGTTCAGCATACATTTCAAATAAAGTTGAAAATATGCTTGATTTGTTTATTCAAGGAACTATAAATAACAGTTTGCAAAAAAATAAAAAATAAATAAAAAAAAGTTAGTGTAAATGCAACAATAACATCATCAATGGATCTTGAATGTTTGTTTAATTAAAGTTTCTGGGGAAGGCACTTACAAAATTACATGGTTGGGTGTGTTAGGCCCTGAAACTTTATATTGTTGGAAAAGTTGCCACTGTGTGTGGGTGTGGTTTTTGTTTTGAATGAACTGATTTGCAGCTCAAATAACTTTGATCAGATTTATTCCAGCTAAAACTTTCAGTAGAAGTATATTTTTTTGAGAAAAATTATTGCAAGCAGTATTTTAAATATCTTCCCATCTCATGTTTTAAAGTATAACATCCCCATGTAAGAAGAGATGTTTTGTCTATAGATCTGACCATTGTTGTAGGACCTCTAACAGTGAGGCTGACACACACCTAGACCACATATTTGATCACCTAAGTGCTGAGGAAGACCAAGGTAAGGCTGTATGAGTACAGATTATATAAATCAGGTGTTAAAATTATTTTTTGATTTCAGTTTTCTATGCAGATTAATATTATTCATCAGAATTTGGTTTTCTATGTATTAGACAGACTCAGGCTTAGTACATGTGTAATTGAATACTAAAACTTTCTATTTTCATTATACAAATGTACTCTCTTAATTCACTACCTGGTAATTAGTAAAAAAAGTGAAATAAGTTGTTATAAGAAGATAGAATATCATTACAATGTAATTAGAATTAGAAACTATGGTTTTCTTATTTCATTATATTTTTTTTGCTATATCCCATATTGATATATGGACCAACAAATTAAAGTAACTAATAAGTCAATGTAGAAAGACACAGTAAATGTTTACTTGGCCATATGGCCGTTTAGGAATTATCATTTGTACTAAAGGTCAAGAGAATGGAAAGCCATGTCTAAAATGTTCTAAAAAAATGTGTATAAAAGATAGAAAATGCACTATATGGTAATACCATCCATTCTAGATCCTGGTCCAAGGGAGATAATCGTCCTGAAACGGAAACTTCTATTGCCCAAGACATGTGGCGGTGTGCTGGACACGGACTTTAACAGTATGTGTGCACAGGTAAGAACTTGATAGGACTGACATTTCAATTTTACCTGGATTCTCCTCTTTACATACTGTACTTTACAGTACATTTGTATTCAGCTATCTAACAAGAGGTTGATTAAAGTATTTCATTTCCAGGTTTGAATTGTATATATGAAAACAAAAAAAATATTTAAACAAAGAAAAATGAAAAAATAAATAGATTTAAGTTTAAGAGTGTTTTCTTTTAAACTGTTGGTCAATACTTTTGACATCATGATATCTCTTATCACAGAATGCAAAATGAAATTCAAAATCGAGACCAGCCATAGATTGTGTGATCAAATGGTCACTGAATATGTACCTGACAACTGTGTTTCAGCCTCTTGGTGCAATAGATTACCTGGAAATAAGCCAAAATTTTGACACTGTAATTGTAAGGAATATACCACGAATGTCACTTAGTCGCAAGTCAGAAGCTCGAAGATTCATCACACTCATTGACACCCTATATGATAAAAAGGTATGTTACCTATCAACTAACACTGACTGAATTAAAGCTTCCTGGGAAATC